ACCATGATTGTAGTCACGATTGCTTGCTAAATTCACGTTTCCGACGATTGCTTTTTGTTCTACACTGAGAATTGGTCCATATTTATTTTACACAGAGGAATTTATTACTCAATTCAAAACAACAGAAAAAAATAATAGGTCACCATACTCGTTTGCGAGAAAATGGCGATTTACCTCTATGGCAAGGTCCAGCTGTAAAGAAAAAGCCGCCATTTTTTAATGCGGGCGCGCTAATCACGCGTGAAATTATGCGCAGTAGGGATGCGCAATGCAATACTGGGGAATAACTTTAAGTTGAAGGGAACCTGAAAATAATACTTTACTAAGATAAGAGTAAAGAAACAAGAATGGCTAAGGATGGAAAAGATTAACCCGGATTACAAATGACGAACTTGGAAAGTTTTGGCCAAACTTTTCAGGATGCATAAACCGTGACGTAACTCTTTTAAGAATACATTGTTTAGTAATTTCCTTGCTGTTGGGCAACGTACCAAGCCGCTATGAAACGTAATAAGATAAAGACATGAATTAAGTTTTCAGTTAAATATATTTATACTCCTCTTGGGATGCCACTTAGTCCATTACTTGTAGCAAAGAAAAACAGTTTATTATTTATTATTCTGTCCTTAGGGAACAGAGGACAAAAGTCTCCTGGCGGGTTACGTCGCCATGTTTCTTGAAGAGTACAACACTGCTCAGGTAGGTACACTGGTTAATATTCAGACTTGAGGCCCTCAACTTTACGACGAAGGCTGGTTGACCAGTGTTGCAAATAATATTTACGGTGTGATATAAATATCGCAGTAATATGACGTTGCTGCTAAGACACAGCATTTGATGTAAACTGACTCATTATTCGTTGATTTTGTCTTTGCTCCTTTATTTCAGGATCTGTTTCTTGGATCAGCGTTCCCATTAGCTGCACTCGAGGTGCGTGTCAGTAAACATAAGTAGTGTGTAAAGGAGCTCAGTCACAGCATTGAGAGTTATTTTGGCCATGTACAAGATTACCTTTAAATTGAAGGAAACCTCAAAATAGTTGTTTACTAAGATAGGAAAACACCAAAGAGATAACAGTAAACCATAAAGGAACAAGGATGGTTAAGAATGGAGAAGACTAAACTTGAAACAAACTTGAAACATTTATGCTAAACTTTTCAAGATGAGCATATCGTGACTTAGCTCCCTTATGTTAAATAAGTTGTAGGATCAATGAAGTAGATAATTCTTTCAAAGGAATTGATCAAGGAATTCTGAGTTATCCCCTAAATTGAAGCCGACGGTCTAACCATCTAAACTTTCAGTCTGACTAAAGATAATTTGTAGGGCAATGCACATCACGGCACATGCCAGTCATAGACATAGTGTACAACAATTAAGAAATAGAAAACATGTACCGTGTTTCTATTGAGTTTTAGTATTAAGCTACTAGCGTTCTGTCACGAATGGCGTTCTCTGATTGACTACACTACCCACTATCTATTCTGTGATAGATAGTGAGTAGCGTAGCAGTGTGCGCTTGTGAACGAAATGACGGCCGCTTCTTGGCGTTTTCGAAGTGTCTAAGAAGAGGGTTTAGATAAGGTTTTGAACGACTAGTAGGTTTATACTAAAACGATTAGATTATTCACTCTCGATTTCTATGTGTGATAGTTGACTCGGGCTGCACCCTCGTCAACTGTCACGCGATAGAAATCTCGAGCTCATAATCTAATCGTTTAATAGAAACACGAGTGGAGGTTTGGGAGAACGAGAAATGCTGTGGGTACACGAGCCGTAGGCGAGTGTTTCCACAGCTTTTTCGAGTTCTCCCAAACTTTCACAAGTGTTCTTATAACTCGATAGAAACACGGAGAACATGTTTTCTATTTCTTTTGGAAAACACCTTGACGAAACAAGGGGAAACAACTTGTTTGCTTTGATCGTCAAATGTAAATTCTCTTTGCTCGCGCCATCATTACGTCAACAGCTTGTGCTAGTTCTGTGTTTCTATCGAGTTTTAGCCGGTATAAATCTCCTAGCGTTCTATCACGCAGACACGCATGCCGTTCTCCGATTGGCTAAGCTACTCACTATCTGTTCTGTGATAGATAGTGAGTAGCGTAGCAATGTACCCTTGTTAACGAAATGACGGCCGCTTCTTGGCGTTTTCGAAGGGTTTGTGAAGAGGATTTAGATAAAGTTTTGAACGACTAGTAGATTTATACTAAAACAATTAGATTATTCGCTCTCGATTTCTATGCGTGATAGTTGTCTCGGGCTGCGCCCTCGTCAACTATCAGCGATGGAAATCTCGAACTCATAATCTAATTATTTAATAGAAACACGATTTTTAACCAATCAACGCGCGTATTTTCTTGGGGCTGTTTTCTAATTTAAATTACAGGCTGTCTCCCACTAGGATGAAATTCATGTAGCTGTTACTTCACTTAACAGCTCTCGCGTAGTAAGCAATCCTTTGCGAATACGAATAACAATACGCTTTCCTGGTGCTTGACAGCCATTTGGTACAAAACTCAAATAACTTATTTCTCCACATTCCAGATGAGGCGAGATCTCCTTCACTGGGACCAAGCCCTTGAACTGGCCAAGAATTTAGCTCCCGAACAGATTCCTTACATTTCAAGAGAATACGCACAGCAACTTGAGTTCACGTAAGAGAAAACAAATTGTTGGGACAACGTGACAAAATGCTGACAGGGTGCGGAGGGTAACCTTGCGATGGACTAACATCCCATCCAGGGGGGAGTGGAAATGCTCTTAGCCACTTTATGCTACTGAAACTGGAGTCAAGTGCTGAGAACTATGAGTCAGTAGGGCTTAGAAGACTTTGCTTTTGCTCTTACATCTTTTTGCCTAGTTTTTATGCTGTTTTTTTCTCTCAGTGTTTTGTTGTTGTAAATCTGGCAGAATAAAATGGTTGGTTGTTGTTTTTGTATCTGAATGATTGCATTTCGTCTAGAACCCTACAAAACATTTTTTGTTCACCTCATACTACATTTTTTTTTTCGCTGCAGCGGAGATTACAGTAATGCCCTCCTTCACTATGAGAAAGGAATAACCAAGCTACCAGAGGTAAGTAGAACGGCTGGCGATTGATTCACGGGCTACTTATCTTAGAGCCTTTTCACACCGCCAAGACTAGTCTGTGGTCATTTCGTAAGATCTCACATGAATGGCTCGAGAACAAACAACAGAAACAGTGCCCCTAGCCCTAAAACAATAACAGCTGGTACAACAATAAAACAATAGCAGCTTATGAGAGCTGCTACGCCTCTAAGGCCCCGTCCACACGTAGCGTATTCAAATCGAATTCGCCTGTCCACACGCATCCGATGGTATCCGGATTCAC